GTGTTCACAAAAGAGTGGGCATACAAATAAAAGAAGGACTGAAAGTGAAAGTATGCTGTGATTGAAGGTCGGAGCAAGTGAGAGTGCCTGTGACGAAATGTGTATTTTAAACGTGCCTCCTCACCCCAAGGGTGCAGAAAAATTAAAACATGTTTTCTTCAACAAAAGGACCACTGCCACGTGCTATGAATGATATTTTAACATGCTGCCCAGGGTCGGGGCACGAATTTGGTCATCCTTCCCCATTGCAAACAGACAAGGGCCCGGAGTCACAACGAGCAACAATTGACGTAACCTGGAAGTTCAATTGGTCTGTGCTGTGCTTCGACTTCAATGCCTCATACGTTTTTTGGTCCCCGGGAAGGCATCATGCACCTTCGACAGGTTTCATCGGTCTTGGTCTCTGTTTTGCAGGGGGTGCTTGATGGGACTTTGGTTCGGCCGAAGTTCACCAACAGGAGCTGCCCACTGCTTGTAGAAGCTAGAAAGAAGTTCACGCCATTTTGGATCAAACACTGGGCATGTGAGAAACATGGACCGTACATCGCTTGGCAGAACTAGCTTGTTGTCAGCAATTTGACAGCATTTCAATTCTGATGGAGACTGATCCTTCGGGAGATCTTCCTGCCGCGGCTGCGCCTTGTAACTTGGCCAGTCTTCCAAGCCTAGCGACAATTGCACCAAAGGAATGGCCCGAGATGTAAGTAGAGAATGATCTGGAAACACAAGGGCTGGTTGATGAATGTGGTCCCTCAGATTCAGCCAGCTCCACCAGCCTGCTGAAGCGCAGCGCCAGTAAGACAATGTGTAGGTTGCCGCTCAGCACCTCTGCAGCTGACCACCAATTTTCGAAAGAAGCGCAATTGGGTGCCCATGTGGAAGCTCATCTTGAATGCCAGGAGATGCAGAGGAGGTGCATGGCAAGGAATACAAAAAAAGGAAAAAGGATGCAGCTGAAAAGCACCACATGACAATGCCCAACATTTTGCCAGGAACTTCTGCAATGGTTTGAGCTTCTCTGGGGTGTTGGGGTCACTGTGGTCCAATTCAGCTGCCGCTGTCAGATAAGTGCAATGACCGATGAACGGGTCCATCCCTTGATCTGGTCAACTGTCTGATGGTCGCAAGCCACGGTCGTGTGCAGCAAAAGAACATGAACAAATACAAAACACATCAAAACAGCAAACAACAAACAACACTGCACAAGCAAACATAGTGACAGTCTGTTGTCAGAAAAAAGGCCTGAACCAGACCCATGGTGCAATCCAATGGCTCCCGTTGAAGCTCTATGCCAGACAACAACATCAACTCAAAAGTTGTGATCCAATCTTCCATCACAGGCAGGCCATCATCTGGTTTCTCGAACCTAAGACTATCCAAAGGCACAAATGTTTTTTGAACAGGCTGCATTGTGGTGCAATCGGTCTAAGAAGTGAACCGAAGACAAAAAAAGGGGATCTTTATGACCTCATCCTCCATGCTGGTGTCCAATGCCTTGGCGTTAAGCCTCACTCTTATGGGTAAGAGGTCAATGATTTGCACAACATTGGCAAGGTTGATTTCTTTAGATGTGTCAAGTTACAAAACCAGTTTTCTGGTAGGGATTCAGCCCACTCTGCTTAGAAGCCCACTCCTCATACCATGTCTCCAGCTGCTTGCAATGGAGTTTCCGGTTGTCCTCTCCTGGTTCCCAAGAAGGTCCAAAACCAGTTGTGCTGGATGGGTGGCAGTGTCCAAGACGTCCTCTTTCCTAAAAGACAAGACATAGTCGACGATGTCCTATCGGTGCAACAGATGCTGTTGCAAGTAGGGCTAACATACTTTAAGTTGTACATTCATTGTCAAAATGTTCAATAGTGAGTTTGAACCCAACAGTCCCTCACCAAGCTCAGATCTCCGGTAGGTAGCTTGTCGAAGCTCGCTCCTCAGCCTTTGTTTTAAAGGGCTGGGCCATGGCAAGGGCCAAAGTTGTCCCACAAAAACAAAATCCTCACAGAATGGATTGACTCCATTGATTCATCAGGCTTGAGTCCATCGAAAAATTTTTTGGGACTCAACATAATTTTCAATGCACTGGCCCCAGCCCAGTGCATCGACTCCCCTTTGAAAAAAACACGACATTGACCTTATTTTTTTCTGATGTTTTTTTTTCAATGGCGACATTTTTTTGCAATTGCGATCAATGCACTCCCCCTAGCCCAGTGCATTGATTTTTTTGTTGGATTTCAAAAATTTTCAATGCACTCAATCCTATTGAATCCCCACTATCATGACCCAGATTTTCAATGCACGCCCCGACCGCCAGTGCATCGAAAACCGGGCGCCCAAACCCATGAGTGCATCGAAAACCAGGTGCCCAGCCTATGAGTGCATCGAAAACCGGGTGCCCAAACCCATGAGTGCATCGAAAATGTTGGTTGGGACCAGGCTGGAGTGCATCGAAAATCTTGGTTGGGACATTTCGAAGACGACCGAGCATCTGGGTGTTCGTATGGCCCTCTAGGTTGTTTTGGCAAAAGGTGTCAGTGTTTGCCAGAAGAGTCGGGGGCTGTCAGGGAATGATTCAACAATACTTGGACCAGATGGTCGGCATCCCTCAACTCTGGAGACCAAGGAATACCCCTTTTTAGATTAAAGGATTATATGGCATTTACAGATAGCTGCTGCAAACCAACCTTGTTTCTTTCATCTCCTGCCTAGATGTGCCTGTTTCCGCCGAACACTGCCCTTAGTGGCATTGCCAAGGAGTTCAATACAGCTGGATGCATCACCATTGGTGGCTCAGCCTGTCGATCAGTTGGGGGCTGGGAGTGCCATGGCAATGGCTTCAATTCAGCATCAGCCCAAAATTGGTTTTCGGCCAATTGATCCAGATACTGCACACTCTTTTGGTACTTCTCCCCATAATAGAGTGCCACAGCCCGACTCAATTCTTTCCACCGTGTTCGCAGTGCTGCGGTGTGGTTGTTTCCACGCCTAATTGGCTCTTATACCCAAAGTAGACTAAAGAACAGTGTCATTTGATAGACACTTTAAAAAGCATACAACATCTCATGATCAAATCTCACCAATAATTTTGCCAGTATGAAGGCTAATATCTTTAGATCTGGGACCAGGTTAAAGGTTGAAGATCGACCATGGGTCATCACCAATAAAGGAGGCTGTGCCAGAGTGCTGTCGCTGATATACTTTTTGATGAAGCAAATCATATCCTGAGGCGACCTCGCCCCCAGGAACGAGCTCCTATTGATGCTGTCGGTGTACGAAGGCGGAACATCTGCCAAGGGCAGATGAATTGACATGGACGGATTGATGGGGAGGATATGGAAGGGTAAAAAACTCAATTGTAAAACATGTGTTTATACACCCCTCACCTCGTCGTTGCATATTGAAAAAGTAGTGATTCCCCGTATCATCTTTAAGTAGGCCGCCTTCCAGCTTCACACCCAAGGATGGTAGATGTTGCCTCCAATCCCTGCTGGTGTTTAGTTTCTGGACTTGGACATGGGTGGTTGAATCCACCCAATCCAGGATGCTACTTTTGCAGAGTTCATTCCGCACAACCCTGACCACGTCGGTTGCATCTTGAATATTTGCTTTGCACCGGCTAATGATGCCCCAACATTGATCTTGGCTTGGTGCTTCGAGAAAAGAGAACATTCCACTCACAGACCTACAAGTAAAGAAACAATACAAAAAGGATTGGTTACAACCCAAATGTGACAAGGGGCCGATGCGGCAATGGGTGTGCGACTTTCTCAAACTGCAAAATCCAGTTGTACGAAAGCGATCCTGAGCAACCATGAGAATGAGGTACGATAAGACATACTGATTTTTGCACTGGGTCAAAACAACAGGTATTTATTGCAGTTTGGTGCAGCTAGTGTGCCCACACAAAACAACTAACATCCATTATAAAATCCATAACAACCCATCGCGTTGCTCAGGCACATTGAGCAGGAGGCAAGTCGGCCGTTTCCGACCGTCCTGCTGGCAGATGGTCATGACCTGGGATGGGGGCAAAACCCTCCAGCGGTTCCTTCTAAAGATCCCTGGATATTCCCTGGCAACAAGAAAGAAAACAATAACACGATTGAGAAAGAAACTTGTTTGTTTTGCTGAGTCTTAGGTGCATCTTCTATGGTTTGACTCAAAATCTCCAGGATTGCTGAGCTGTCATGGCGACAAACCTCGTCCATGATGTACACATTTAATGTATACCCAAATGCCCATGCCCCATGTATTTTGACACGGGGCCTCTGGTGCTTTGCCCTTAGCTGCTAAAATACAGAACTTGGTGCACCCTATTGGATTTGTGCCTGAAAGGGGTCAAACCAGAACATCCAAACAAGATCAACATCCAAAATACCTATCACGAAATAGTTGTTGGACAGGGACATGGTTCAGAGCAGCGTTGTTCCGAAGTTCTGGCTCTCTTGGCAGGGCAAATTTAGATTGGTCTAAACCATCCATAGATATCAAAAGAACCTCGCTGTTCGGTTCTGCTGACTCAGCCAGAAGTTGCCAAATCACAGTGCGATCACTGTATTGGCTGTGCAAATGACCTCTGTAGTTCTTCAAGGATTGCAGTTTTCTTTCCAAGGATAGGCTTTTATAGCATACCTCGCGAGTTGTGAATAGACTGCGGGATCTGAAGCGGAGAATGTCGCTCCATCGTCGCTTGTAGATATCTAAGAAAGTTCCATACCTGAATCTGGAGTCTTGTTTTTTTTGGTGTGCCCCAAATCCAACAACATAACCAACCTCCTACCCACAGTTGACTAACGTGGCTGAAACACGACACTGCGTATCCTCCCAGCAATGATTGTGTTGCCTGGTAGTGCTCAAACAAATCTGCCACTATTCCTGGTGGCAAGAACTTCCTGACAAGCACCTCGCCAGGAAGCAAGTTCTTTGTCTTGAGGTCGCAGGAGCTGAGCCACTCCCTCAGCTCATCTTCGTTTTCCAAGTCTGAGCCTACTTCTTCAAAGTTGCTATCCTCATCGTCGTCTAGATCTTTTTTTGGCTCGGCCTCGACGAACAAACCTGGGGTTGGACTGTTCTCCCTAACAGGACAATGGTTGATGAATGTTGATGAATTCCCTTAAAATCATTCAGGGGTCTTGGGGGGCAGCTTTGATGAAACACCTTTGGAGTCTAGAAGAGAAACTGGTCTGGTAATGTTTCGGCTATCGAGTCATAGGCCACCTGGAAGAAAGCGTCAGCTGTCCAAGTCCCGGGTTTGCTCCGGTGAGCCTTCTTTCCGTGCCGGAGGTCCGGAGCAGCATGTGCTGATGCGTTGCGGAGGCGAGATTTTCCAACAGCTACCAGGGAGGCCAAGCATTTGAAACCAATCGGATGGCCCAGAAGAGTCCAGGCTTGAGTAGGTCCACTCCCAGTTGAAGAGGTCTGCAACTTAGTTGAACTGAGAGAACAAATCAACCCTGCAACAACCTAAAGCAACAACCTAAAGAATATCAGTGGCAACAAAAGCAAAATAACATTGACGCTTATTGCCACAGGGCACAAGTGAATCTTGGTCTTGCTTGTTCAAGTCCCAGAACTCACCAATGAATTGATGTAACTCTTTGGACTGAGCGAACTGCTTGAAGCAGGTTTTGCTGGCACCTGGGAAACTACAGTAGATTGGGGCTAGGTCGGGCAAATTGGCCCACCCAAACAAAACCCAACGATATAGTATACTATATAGCCAAATTTAGTGAACATTGTACGTATATTTGCTTCCATGGCACATAGACAGGAGTCTTTCTGAATCAAAGAGTTTATTCTCGAAGGATCGGAACCATTCTTCTTGTACACCCCAGACTTCTCTCTGAGATACAAAGCATTGGCACTGCGGTTGGTCTTGTCATACGGCCGTTTCTTCTTGGCTATTGTTTGGTCGTCCTGATTTTGTTTCCAGAACGTAGCTTGCTTGATGTTGATCATGGCTTGCCAACCCAGGGCAAACACGCTAGATGATGTCATTCTAAAGTCATCATCATCAACCCCACGCCCTTCGCTGTCAGAAGCAGATTCTGCCTCAGAATCCTCTGCGCCAAACAGTTGGTTTGGTTTAGAAACCTTTTGACTTTTTGCTGGTTGGTTCAGCTCGTCCTCACCCACTTCATCCTGAAAGGGCTTGACCCCTTTCTTTTTTCACTGGTTGGGTCCCAACACGAAGAGTGGGCTGACGGACCTGCTCAGCTCCTTCAGCGGCGAAGGCCTTGGACGGCGGCTTCCTGCTTAAGGCTTTCGAAGCAGGCGCATGGCTCAAAGAAAGAAAGGGAACGGATCTAGCACTGGATTCTCCACTCTCTCTCCCAAAAGGGGGCATGGAGCTAGATATTTGCAGGAAGTGCCAAATTCAAGCAGCACAGGATTGCCTGACAGCACACGTTTTCATGTTTGAGTTTGCACAGCGTCAAGATTTTGGACAGCGTGGTCGCTTTGGTGCATGGAGTCATGTTCACCCTAATTTTGGGGCTTCCCCTTCAACATTCTTAATTACAGGCCAAGGAATCTTGGCTTAGCTATGTGCTCTCAACACACAGCAGCATCATGAGAAGCATGAATCCGCCGCATGGAATGCTCATTCCATTTCCAGCCATCTTCCTCACACTGGCAGAAGTGCAGTCAGAGAGGTCGACGCAATCCTTGCAAGGTTACAGACTAGTAAGAAAAAGACAACACAGCAGTAGTTGGTTAGAAGAAATCATTGGGGTGTCCAAATAAATTGCAACCATTGTTGCCAGGAGTCTACGTTTGCAGCCTGTGCAATCTCCTTGATGCACGGGTACAAAAGTGCAGCCATTTGTTCCTCCCCAGACATGAGGCGCTTCTTTTGATCACACCTCAGCCCATCAAAAGTCAGAGACACTTGGCACTAGTTTTGGACACCTTGTTTCAAACAAAAGTCAGAGATCAGGTTAGTTTGGCCAAGTGGCCAGAACTGTGATGATGTTGTCAAACACGGAAGTTCTGAATGACGGGTCTCTGTGCGTGCGCATTTTTCGCAATTGGCTGACAAATCGTATAAGCGCTTGCGAGGGAGCTCGGTTCTGAACTTGTCCAAATGCCGCTTTTGGCACCTGAGAAGCAGCCATACCCAACATCATTAACCACATGCTCGAATCCCAGAAGAACCAAACTCAAAGACTCTTTGCGGAAGAACTGCCAACAAACTTTAAATCAGATTTGGCACTCTGTCAAATCCTGCTCTTGAACACATGTCATCGGAGGCTGTGGGCGTAGATAGATACTGTAATTCAATTTGGTCATCTGGAGCGGGTCTCCAAGTATCATCTTAGCAAGTTCCTCTAAGCTCCACCTACTGTTCCACTTGCGAAACCTGGCATGATAGCAAATTCTCCAGGCCCTCAACCGGTTGTTGGGATGTCCGAACATCTTGGGTCCAGCCTCAGCAGGGCAGTCGGACTGAGGTGCTGGGAGGATGCGTTTTCTGGGAGACGACCTCAACGTGAACATGAAGCTGAGGACACGGCAAAACTGTTTGGATCTTGTGGGTAGCCAGGTTCTGCTCGAGGAACTCCTGGATTTGAGGGGTGAAGCTGAATTGAATGCTTTAGGAAGCTGGGGCTCCTTGTCGTATCCCGGGACGTTTTCATGCAAGGATAGGTGGACCTTCTTCTGGAACTTGATGGATGCTTTCTGACAACGGCTTTTGACTTTGTTCGTAAAGCCTTCCCCAAGGCCATACCTGAGACTTGCAAAAGTCTTGCTCGCACACTACACCAAAAGAATTTGAAGTGAAGACAGTGTGTGCGCATGAAGAATACTACATAAAGCACGCCCTGCTACAAAGAAAATAGGACGCACGGAGCTCCCACCAAAGCAACATCGTTGGCCTCAAAGGAGATGTTGCACCTGATCAATTACAAGGAGGCACATTGGGTGAGGGGTGTTGAAACATCTCAATTTGAGCGCACCTGTTTTTGTGACAGCCTACTCAATAAACATCAATCCCAGGCACATTTTCTTGTGAACTCCGCAGTAGGCTGTCTTGTTCATTTTCAATACAGAAGGCTTCCACTTATCAATTCCAGTAGATGCTGGCGTTACCATATTCAATATGTCAGTGAAGCAGCAGCATTCACCCCACTGCTCCTTGTGCAAGCGGATGCAAGCCCGGTTCAACTCTACCTTGGTGTTTGTGTTTTGTACGAATGTACGGACATGGTGCGCTTGCAACTACATAGGACTACCAATTGCAAAGCCCAAGCTGCGTTGAAATCAAATGTGAGGCCGGAATCAATGCCCCATCGACGTTTGGCGGCGCTGCAGATCATTTTCCAGGCCTGTCGGAGACAAAGTGCTCCGCCGAAGAAGTCGAAGGTCTTCCACTGGCATGTACCTGAGGAAGTGTGCGGTGAGTACTGTGTTATTTTTAAGTGTTTGTGTCAAGTTTCAACAGTGGTGATTGCAGCCAATTTGCGAATCTTGTTCTTTACAAATCTATCCCCAAAGATGCGAGCACATCGGTCGAGCAAAATCTCCGCCCAAGACCTCACGCTAATCTTTAGAAATTGAATAAGAACAGAATAAACTTTAAGATACTTTAAGCCCCCTCAGACCACGGCCCCAATTCTGCGAAGCTTGTTGGCATCGGATAGGGTCGCCTTGCCGAAATTGATCGAAGGGTTGTGGGCAAGATACTTTTTGTTGCATAACATGCTTCTCAAAGATATAAAAGGAGTAGGTCAAGTTACAAAGAATGTTCATCTTCAACATCTGAGTCGATCAGAATGCTGCTCGACCCTGCTGCGACTTGTTGCTTGTGGGCAGGACGCTTCGCTGGAGGCTTCTGTGAAGAAGAGGCCGGCCGTTTGCGGCCATTCAACAAAGCTTCCAGGTCCAGGGCCATGGCACAGATGGGGCTGGTAGGGAAATGGATGTCTTCCTTGCAATGAAACTGTTTTCCTTTTGCTTTTGCAAGATGTCAGCATCACCGAGTCAACTGCAACGGCCATGCACTTTGGACCTCTGACCTCTGATCTTTTTTCAAAACAACTTGGAAACCTGTGACCTCATGCGCTTTGAGACCTCACGCACTCAGCTTGTACTCAGCTCATTGGGGCCCCCGTGCTCCAGTTGCAGGGTGAAGGAACCTGGAGTGGAAGATTGAGAGGATCAGCGGCTCTTGACAGCAAAGGGAGCGTTTTGTTCAAAGCCATGAGAATACCACCTGGTTGAAAGACATTACTGAAGTTAACTCTTCTGCAGAACAATGGGCTCTATGATCCTTTACTAACCATCCTGGCCTTCTCATGGTGTTTGAAGGGGCTGCGCCGCGATCCTGGAGCAACATCACAAAATCACTGTCTATACTATATATATATATATAGACATAGAATAGAGACACATATATATATATATAAGTTGGATGTTGCACTGGGCACTGGTTGTGCTGGAGAAAATCATGTTGAAGGTAGCATCCCTCCTTTTGGAAGTGCAATAAACATATGATAGAATGAGTCGCAGTCACACAGATCCAGTCCTGCTGGAAGTGTGGGGTCTGGAATGTTTTAACCTGGGCGAGATGCGAGTAGCACAGAGGAGTCACACCAGGATCATAGGGACCATCACAGGGTATAGAAACCTTTGGCCTGTGACTCTTTTGTATTCTTTCCAGAAGCTGCCTCACTTGAGGGTTCATTGGATGGGACACTCAGGTCGAGGCTGTTCTAGCTTCCCACTCACTGCATTGTTCATAGAACCTGGCCGGTTCTTGAAAAAAAACCTGGCACGCAGGGCTGATGCACGGCCGAGATTCGGTGGCACGGCCGAGATTCGGTGTGTGTGTGATATTATGTTGGGCATATAAGTCTAAGTTTGCCTGGTTTGGATTCTTGTTTTTTCCCTCAACAAGCATGCTTGTATGGAATGGTTTTTGCTTAGCTTTTGCTTAGCTTTTGCTTGGTCTCAGGTTAGGCTTTGCATTCTTAGCTTTTGCTTGGTCTGTGGCTGGCCATGTGGCACACTGGACATGTTGGTCATATGGATGGTAGTGGAGCATGGTTTTGCGGAGCACTTTCTCAGCACTTTCTCAGACCCAGTTGCCATTAAACTGGACCCACTTACCACTAAAGTAACTTCCTTGTGGGAAACTGTTCTGGGACACTCTTGTGGGACACTCTTAAGGGACACTCTTTGTGAGACAAACCCTTGTGGGACACTCTAGTGGGACGCTCTAGTGGGACACTCATACGGGATCATTGTGGGACACTCTTGTGGCAGACTCCTTGTGGGACACTATGTGAATTTGCAAATTCTATGGTAGCACGACGTGCCGACACACGAGTTTTCCAGTCAACGAACGGAGGTCGCACACAAAGTCGACCTTTCTGCAACCACGGCCGGACCCACCCTGCTCGACGCACTTTGCAAGCTACCGAGTCACTGGACATGTCCCCACCACCGAAACTCAAATGATTCATCTTGTTGCCATGTTCTGGAGAAAACAAAGTTTTTTTTCTGTTTTTCTCCATGTGCTGGTGGTGGGTCTCCGACTGAAGATTTCCACCTCCCACCATATGGTCGAAAAGTTGGGACCTGGAGTCTGTGTTGAGGATGCGCTAGCCAATGTAATTTGTCTGGAGGGCCAAGTCACACAACGTAAAATTTCCTTGTTCGCCCACATTGCTGGAAAAAAAGGTTTTGCGCTTCTCTATCTTGGCCGCGTCGTGCTTCCATGTGTGCAATACACACAGTGTTTCATGCTCCACACACAGGAAACACAGAGAATGACAGGGGGTTCAGAGACCTGGCGGGAGGGGGCGCGCGTACCTGGCCGCCCAGGGCTGATGAGCCCCGTAACAAGGCTGTGGCGTGTTTCTGCAGCACATCCGCCCACGGGATCCAGAATTTTTTTGTATTTTTCTGCGTGTGTTCCTGACGAGTGCCTTACTAGTAGTAACGAGTACCTTACTAGTAGTAACGAGTGACGATGGGTCAACATACCCCAACATGGGCTTTGCAAACTTGTTCCTTGAAGGTGCACATGACGTTTGGCCGATGATTCACCATCAGGAACAGCCCGTTTCACTTTTCCAGACACAGATTGTTTAATTGAAGCTTTCAAGAAGGTTGACATGCATAGAGCACAATTGACCCTCTTGAAATCAACAACCGTCTGGATGACAGGTGAAAATTCATCTTTCCCAAGGTCTGCAGGGATTTTTGCTGTTGTCCAACCAAAAATAGATGAGGCCCCTCACAAACACGTTGTCGCCTTTTGGGTCAGTTTGCCTGAGAAACCATTTATAGATTTTGCAAAGAATTATATGGCGTTGATCAACATGAGGTCTCACCACAAGTCACAACTCGTTCGATGTGAATCTCTCCACCCACGGGCAGCACCTGCCACCACGGTGCTGCCAACTGTACCAGCATCCAAACCGCACTATGAAGCATGAAAAATAATTTCCTGTGAATGCCCACACTCAAGAGAAATTCAATTCTTGGAGCATTGGCGGTGGAAGGGACACAAAATCTCTGTCTGGTCGTAATGTGACAGAAGCATAACGTGAACTTTCTCGAAAACACAAAAATGGGGCATTGCAAAACGCACAGCCACTGTAGAAGACCCACCACCGCCTTCGGAGAAGTCGGCTTCTTGTGCAACAAGTCTGCAATGCAAATGACAAGTTTGGGCTTCGCGGGCACCACGATGTGCGGCCTGCTGCTCAATTCGCACCCAAGGGTAATAATTCAGTTGGCCAATATGACGTCTTTGGCATTCCAAATCCCTGCTGTTTCCAGGGAAGCATAAAAAATTTGCACCATTTCTGGCGAGCATATGAATTCTGCCCGGACTTCAAGAAACGGATAGCGGTCCAACAACAACATATTTTCCAAAGCAATTCCTAACGCATTCATCTGTGCCAAAATTGTACTCTATGCTATAACTAAAAATAAACTTAAATTAACAGGGAAAACACCATCCGTAGTAATAAGGTACCGATCGCCTAAATCTTAATTGCAAATACGAACCAGGGTTATAACTATTTAGACACCTTTAATATAATAAAGAATATTTTATCATTACGCTTTAAGAATCATATTCGTTCATCATATATATCCAGCAACGAAGAATGTGCTAACTACGGTGGCTTTATTAGCTTTAAACTATTATAGACAACTCGGAAATATTCGAAGCCTTCTATTATTTTCATAAAATAAATTATCCCCCAACAAACATTAACCCCTTCCCACACCCCCAAAAGTTAAATAAAAAACCCTTCGCTACGTATTTAAGAAAAATAGAAATTAATAACTTCAATAAATAAAATATTCAAAGAACTAGAAAATATAAATTAATAATTTTATAATACAATTTTAATACGGAAAATATCTAAAAAATTAAAAGATGGGAATTAATAATTTTATAATATAATTTTAATATACGAAAGAATAATTTATAGAACCGGAAATTAAAAATTAACCATTCTATATTTTATAATATAATTAAAACACGCAGAATATCTAAAGAGTTAGACGATAAGAACTGGCGATTTAGTACAACTTTAGTGCGCGGATGAGTCATTTCTCGCGATTGCTCTAATACCTTTGCAACTAAGTTCTCCCGACCACCCGTTCTTTAAAAGGTTGATAAATTTTAGCTACTTTCCTTACTCAAAAATTGTGATTTCGATTATTTTCTAAAGACGTGTTTTAAGAGGTTTACAAATTTAAGCTAAGTAGTTTTGTGTCTACACAAGCTATCACATCATAGTCAACATTTAGCTCCAATTAGCTTTAGTAGGACTAGAGCTAGATGCTTCATTCATCATTCATGCGTCTGATTAAGAGACACGAAGGATACACATAATAGAAAAAACCGGGACACTCCTATAGGTCAATTTGTTCTTATAGGAAACTTCCGCCGCCGGCTTGCCCGGGAACTACTTGTAGTAACCAGACCGCAATTTTCCCTAGACGCACGCAAAATGGAATGCGGTTGTGGAGGCCATTGCTTGTAGAGACCATCGCGTAGGTTGGAGGCCATTGGACGCCATCGCTACAGCAGGTTTGGAGGCCATTGCTTAGTAGGTTGGAGGCTATAGTTGGTTCCATCGCCCGTAAATAAGATCAAAAACCCATAAACATAAGCATCATATTAAATTTTTCCTCACAACAACAAATAACAAAACAAATTTTTGAACAACAATATAATATAGATTTAAAAACAACAATATTTCCCAAACAGCCATGCTTTTGCCGGCATACTCCACTTGTCCTGCCTCCATGATGGCCATTTTGGTTTGTCACTGCTGCTGCCTTTCCCATTTCTCTGCCTGCACAATCGTTACTTTGGTTGCCGCTTCTCTACAGTAGTTATTTCTTTCCTCACAAATTTTCCCAATTGGTTATCTGTACAATCGCCGTCCTTTGCCTTGTCTCCTTACTTGTTTTCTTCTCTCCCTGTCGCCTTTGTGTGTTTCTGCTTTGCCTCCTTACTTGTTCCCGCACTTGTTTTGTTTGATCGGCGTTCTGCTTGCCACCACAACCTTGTCTGCTGACTTGGCCTTTGGAGTAAGTTGCTGTCTGGGGTCTAAACAGGTATAGTTCGAGCTTCAAACAATGTTTCGAAACACAAAAACATACTGGTGGAAAGTGCTGATCTACACCAGCCATTGTATTACTTTCTTTGTATATTTTCTTGATGGAAATGGTCCAGGATCCAATGATCATCTTGAAAGCAAACACCTCCAGGGTGATCACGACCTCAT